AGCTTATGGGGTCATCGCGTAAATTCAGAGCGATGTAGTTTAAGCCATTCTGAAATCCAGTTGAGGTATCCCTGGACATTTTGCTTTCCTGACCATCAGAAATATTTTCATCCGGTTTTAACCAAACGTTGTCAAATGAGGCAGAGCTGTGTCTTTTGCTACTATCAGTAAAGAAAGAGGACGAGGTCGTCACAGTCCCAGCAGAAGAGAACGTTTCAGAACTGTGTCTCCTCCTGCCTTGAGGGTCAGCTCGAATCACTTTCGGTCCCATAGGAGGGTCAGAGCCAGGAACGGAGAAGCTACTGCTGCCAGCATATCGATCAACAATGCAGAGTCTATTAACGATGGAAGAAGGACTATCCATCTTCACACCGTTGCCAGATTCGGTGGCAAACGGCCGAGGTGGTGTTGCTGCCATGTTGAACGTCATCTCGGTGTAGTCATCAGTCCTGTTACTCGTGGTGCTCACACAAGCAGTACCAAATGAGAGCCGGGCGTAGTCAGGGTTTGGTTGGTTTCTAGGAATACTGGAACTTGCATAAATTGAAATATCTGTCAGAGAGTTCGACAGTTCCTTTGCTACTTTCGGTGACTGTACATCCAAGTCAACGCTCATGTAATCAGAGAGCGGTGACTGCCTGTGATCACTACTTGAGCCCAGAGATGATGGTGATCCTTCTGCAGATAAGGAATAGGGTGTGTTACTTGCCTTTTCATTAAAATCAATATTTATGTATTCACCGGGACTCGCTGGCTCAGGTGGAACTGTACGGTCATACATTCTGGGGATGGTATTACTCCCCCTCGTACCCAGGGGCAGGCGTGTGGGCCTGGTGGCCCTGTTCTGCACAAGTCCTTCATCTGAACCTTTCAACGTTGGCAATTTAGAGATGCCATTAGCCAGAGTCTCACTGCTCACCCCTTTTACATTTTCTGGTCCACCATACAAGAGTTTTCCAGGTGAAGACATTGGAACATATTCACTGTGGTCACCATTTTGTCCTGATAATGCCTTAAAGCTTCTGGGCAAAGAAAAATATGAACTAAAACCTTTGGACATAGAAGTGCTATGAATATAATTTGAATCACTGGGGTGCTTTGGAGCTGAATTACCAGGTGACATATCCATATACTCATTGTTTACAATCTTCTCATTACTTCCTTTAGAACCAAATCCAGTTAAAGGACTCCGTACAGGCGAAGAGCCAGCCTTTGGAAACATCATCATATATCCTCGGGAGTCAACTTGAGATGGTGACCAGGAATTGTTGATCTGTTTTGGAACAGACATGCTCTTAGGAGTCATTGGCAAATAATCGCTGGTGCTGGATAGAGAAGATGCAACTCCTGGCATCATTGGCATGTATCCATCATCCCTGGCTTGACTCCTGCTTTGGTTATACACGGAATCAAGGTTAGTATCACTGTACTCCAAGTCATGGTTATCTTTCAATTTTGGTGTTTCAGAGTAAAGTAATCGCCCATGATTTCCTGCAGAATCTTCATCTAACAAAGTTGTAGTTTGTGTTGTCTTCTGTTGCACTGCTACAGAATTTGGTTTTGTTAGCGAGTAAGTTCTTTTCCTGAAACATTTTTCAGCCTCCATATAATCATCTCGTGAGCCATCATCTACTTGTTGCTTACTCATGGACATGTATTCACTCAGACAGTTCTCCTCTCTGATAGGTGGTGTGTTTCCCAGGGAATCCGGTGTATTACTCCTGACCCGAAAGTACCTGAAATCTCCAGGGCTGGAACCATATTCATCAGAGGAGATAAATCCTCCATCACTCGGGGAACCACAAACAGATGAGCTAGAAGGCCTGGTCAGCATGTCCGAAGCAGAGCCATGGCCACTACTGGAAGAAACACTGATGGGACTTGTAGTGGAGGGAAAATGAGAAACGGGCAGCGAAGCAGACCTGGTGTGGTAAGATGAGCTGAAAGCTGCTCTCACGTACCTTCCACTCCCTTCCTGACGGCCCAAATTCATCCTTGCAGTATTCAGGTGGATCATACTCCCAGTCACTGACCTAAAAGGTCTAGCCATGGTTCCTTCTCCTTCACTGGATGTTCTGAAGCGATAGGAGTTGTTGCTTTTGGTGGTAGGAGGAGTCCCTCCAGCAACACTCTCAGTTCTAGATCTTCTCTGCAAGCCTGTCTGGCTGGGGGGCAGGTTGCCCAAGTGCCTCCTGGTGCTGATGAGGGACATGGGATTGGTACCACTGCCACCACCAGAAGACTGGCTCTTGCTCCGGGGCCTGAACTCTGCAAAGGCCTTTAGAGCTTTCATGGTATCCAGAAAAGTCTCGTGCATATTCTGGGCAACCACAGAATCATCCACTTGCATCCAGAGTTCTCCAGGCCCAATAGAGGCAGATCTGCCCACTTCAATAAAGAAGAAGTTCTCTGAGTGTCCACAGCGGCGAATGTTCATCAGCTGCAGGTGGACAGAGGGCACCTCCGAGTTCAGCTTGACAAGGTGGATGGCCTTACTGGAGAGGCACAACCTGTACACTCCAGTGAGGTTTTTCGTCTGTCCCAACCCTTTGGGCTTCACGTTGACCTGCCACACCTCCTTGAACACGGTGCCGGGCCTCAGGGTGGCCCCATAGTGCTCGTCATCCTCATCCACCTGCTGATCGGCGTGGTCCTCCTGCTCCAGGAAGCCCCTCTTGCTCTGGCTCATGAGCTCGCTGATGGCCTGGTACCAGGCCTCCTGCTCGGCCTCGTTCTCCGCCAGCATGGCGAAGTACTCGTCCTTGGTGTACAGGGCGATGATGTGCTTGTGCTTGGCGTCGGCGCGGCGGCTCACGGTGAAGCACTGGTACAGCGGGATGACCCGCTTGGGCGGGGGGCAGCACAGCGCGGCAGCTCCGCCGGCCCCCGCCGCCCGCAGGCTGCTCTTAAACTTCTTCTCGCTGTCGTAGTACTCCAGCCGAGCGGGAGCCAGGTGGCTCTCGGCCCGCAGCACGAAGTACCGCTTGTGCCCGTGCTTCTGCTTGCGCAGGTACCCGCACTTCCTCACGTCCTCGCCGGCGCCGCGGCCCGCCGGGGGGGGCTGCCCGCCGCGGGCCGCCGAGGGCACGGCCCGGCCCGGCGCGGGGGCGGCCTCGGGCGCCGGGCACAGCGAGGCGCTGGGCGAGCGCCGCAGCAGCAGCAGCAGGTGGTGCGGCTGCGGGGACGGGCAGCGCCCGCCCTCGCCCGCCGCCGGCTCGCCCTCGCCCGCCACCGCGCCGAGCACGCCGGGCTCCTGCTGGGGCGCGGCTCCGCCTCCCGTGTGCCGGGTGCCCGGCTCCTCCTCGCCGCCGCCGCCGCCGCCACCCGAGCCATTCATCCCGCTCGCCATCTTAGGGGCCACGCAGGGTCCGGTGCCGCCGGGGACGGGGGCACTAGGGCGGGCAGAGCGGGGATCGGCGCTCACCGGGGAAGCGCCCCGCGCATGGGGAGCGGGCGGTGCGTGCGGTGCCTCCTGCGTCCCCCGCCCGGTCCGCGCTCCCGCGCTCGCTCCGGCCGCTCGCACTCACGGGCGGCGGCGGCACCGCGGCGAAAACATCACGTGACCGCGCGGAGGGCGGGGCCACGGCCGGCGGCGGGCGGGGCCCCCGGCGCGCGGGGCGAGGGGGCAGCGCAGAGCCGGCCGGGCCGCGCGCCGGAGTGGCAGTGGAGACAGGCAATAGGGAGCCGCGGCCCTTCTCCGGCGAGCCAATCAGCGGGCGGCGTTGGGAGTGGGGGGCGGGCTTCGCCGCGCTCTGTCCGGGGAGGCGGGGTCAGAGCGGATTGACAGCGCGGCAGACCAATAGAAGGCGGGATCTACTCCGGGCTGGCCGCGGTCTCGCGGGGCGTTTCCTGCACTGGGGAAGAGGCGGGGCCGGCGGTGATTGGCCGAGCGGTGAGCGGCCGGTCCGGCAGCCAATCCGCACCTCACACACACAGAGCGGGGAGGCGGGGCCGGGCAGCGCTGTGGAGTCAGCGGCGCGAGCAAAGCGGAAGGCGGGGCCTCGGGGAGATGGGCAGCTCGCGCGGCTAATCAGCGCCACAGCCCTGTCCGACCAGCGATACCGGCTGACGTTGCCCTTCTCCCATTTCCTCCTGGGCGGGGCCCGCCCCCCTGCGCGCGCGGGGCGGGGGCGGCTCCTATTGGCCGGCGGGGAGGGCGCGCGGGGCGGGGGCGGGGCGCGGGCGGGGAGGGAGGGAGGGGGGTGTGGGCGCGCGCCGCGGAGAAAGTAAACAACCCGCCAGCGCGCGGGCGGCCGTTGGGGCCGGGTGCAACGGCGGCAGCGCGTGACCTCCACAGGCCGCCATGTCCGGCCCGGGGATCCCCTCTCAGGGGTCCCACAGCTCCTCACAGCCCTCACGGCCCCCACAGCCGCCTCACAGCCCCCACAGCTCCTCACAGCTCCCACAGCGGCCTCACGGCACGCACACACCCTCCCGCCTGCGCTGGCGGTGTTGTTGACGTGCAGTGGGTTGTTTATTTTTTAGATACACTGCTGTGTCACTGCAGAGCTGTCACGGGTTCAGGGTTGCCCACTACCAGTCGCAGTTGGGTTGGGCACAGCGAGCAACCCGTGTTGCTCCCGTCGCTGCTGTGTGATCCTCCACGTCTGGGATCCGAGCAGGCCACTGACACAATCCCTGGATTTTAGATCAAAATATGATGATGACAATGATGAGATCAAAATATGATGAGCGAGGAGCAAAATCCTTCTGTTTCCCAGTCAGTGGGCACTTGTGTGCCATAAAAATTTCTGTGTTCCATCTAAATGTAATTGTATTGCTAAAATGCATCACCTGGCATTATCACATAGAATCACAGAATCAGCTGGGTTGGAAAAGACCTTCACGATAAAGTCCAAGCCTTGGTCCACCACCGCCATGCTTACTAGACTATGGCACTGATGCCACATCCAGGCTCATCTTAAAAACCTCCAGGGACAGTGAATCCACCACCTCCCCGGGCAGCCCATTCCAATGTCTGATTACTCTCTCTGTAAAAAATTTCTTCCTAATATCCAACCTAAACCTCCCCTGGCAAAGCTTAAGACCATGTGTGTGGCTGTCCCACCACTCCAAAGGCAGGAGCCACTTCCAGCCCTTTGCCCACCTCCCCAGCACTTTCTTCCTCTCATAATTAATTCCTGCCCTTGCCAGCTCACTGATGTCCTCACAGAGAACAATGTCCAAGTTCATGACCGCCCCAAACCCACGCCGTGTTCCCGTGCTGTGTGGGGCACTTAATCCACAGGGCAGGGCAGGGTGTTGGCAGCTGATGCTGTCCCTGGTGCCTTCTCACTCTTAATAACCCTGCCAAAGGTACGTTTCATTTGAGTTAGGAGTTTGTGTGTACCAGTCATGTCAAGTGTAAAAATAATCCTTTTCCCGTAACACAACTGCAAAGATCATTTCTCAAGCCAGTAATTTTGACCACACGTCTCTTTACTTTCTTGATTTGCTTTCAAGGTCATTCTTTGGCTACCTCACCTATGATTCATTATGAGATGACAACTCTCAACAATTCCTGACACCAACTTACACCACCCGCTTGTTTTGTTTTTGGATAAATAGCTCTATGTTTTCTTTCATTCTGACTCTCAGGTGTGGGAAAGGATATTTTTTGGAGTCTCCAGTAACTCAATTTGGAAGCTGGCATGCCGAGTCTTGTACTTGCTGTATTGATTGTTAATGCCTCATTATTTTTTCATACTTCTCTATCTGTTCACTGCCTGCTCACCATGTGTTTAAACTGCACTCTTTTTGTTTTGTGTTTTTACAGCATCTAACATGGTATGTTCCTGTCCGTGATTAGAGCTCCAAAGTGTTATGGCAATACAATGAATAAGTTGCAACTACAGAAATGTAAGTATTTCCAAAACAAGTTTATAAACTCTAGGAAACTGAGATTAAATTTAGTTTTTAAAGACATGTTGGTACAAAAATACAGAACTAAACTCCCCACTAACATTGATTCTGTCATGCAATGTTGTCATGCATTAGCTCTACAATTCTATTGCATTATATTGTTGGTAGCCCCTGGTAGAATTAAACTGTTTTTTAAAGATGTGTTCCTTTTATTTTTCATTCTTTTCTACCTGGTCCATCAGTTGGGTGAGGCTGAGACTGCTTCTGCATTTCCATATGTTGTTTAGGTTTCCTTCTGTACTTTTACATGAAAATTTAAAGTGGTTTTAATGTATAGAGCAAGGTGAACTGTGTTCATTGCATGCTTATTCTGGCTGGTTGCTGAAGGATACATGTGGGAGGAAGAAAGGAAACCATTTGAAAGAAAGGGCTTGGGTTCTCTTTTTTGTTTATGTTTTTTTTTTAGTCATCATCCTCTGGGCTTGCTTGACAGTAACTATGAATAAGCTGTCTGCCGGAAGAAATGTATCACTGTTTTCTGGTCTCTTTTAAAGTCCTTTGCTCTTGAATTGCACTTGCAATGCTTTTGCTGTGGAGTTGAGAAAGCAACACATGCATAATTCAGTCATACAGAGTTTTGGGGTGGTGGATGTGCATGATCAGACCCATGGGGAGCTGCGAAGACAGAGCTGATAGAAACAGATTTTTCCAGTGGGCACTCCCTGGCTTGAAAGGAGTGCTTAGACTTCCTGAAAACTTAAATTGTTCGTGTTTTTCTATATGACTATTAAAAAATAGTTCCTGAAACTGCAAGCTAGTCTATAATTTGCATACTCCTTCTCAACTTTCATTACAGGAAGAATAGCTAATTTGTTTTCTTTCCAAATAAATATTGTTTAGAGTCTTTTGTGCAGTTATTGAGTCAAAGTTACTGATTTTCTGGAGTAATGATTTTTTTTTTTTTTTGTGACTCATGTATTATTTCCTTCCATTACTGAAATAATTGTCCAGGTATGGAATAGCATCTACTTTTACTATCTTTTTCATCACAAATGATTGTAACTTTCACAAACTTTTGTAGGTTTCTATGTCACCATTTCTCTGGCCACTGGTCTGGCGCATAGCCAGAATTCACCATGTAAAGTCAGTGCCCTGCTATTATATATTATCAGCTTTATATTCTTCAGTTTTACTTACAGGACCCCACATAGCCCAAGTCTGAAATGCCTCCTTTGACTGTTAGTGCATGTCTTTCAGCAACTGTACAGGGAAATCAAGGTCCCCTCTTCATGTCTCTTGATCTTCACCAGACTTGAAGAACCTGTAGTTCTTGGAGCTGGAGGTATGTTTGCTTTGTGTTTCATGTATTTGCTCTTTCTACCCTACCAAGTGTCTGCATGAGGCAGGCACTGTAAGAGGCCAGAAATTTGAAACCATTTCTTTCATTACAGTTTCCACAAGCGGCTACAATGTCTGTAATATAAAGCAATTAAGCGATTGGTAGTTGTATTGTTGAGCCAAATGGAGGGACAAATATGTCATCTGCTGCTGAAGGACTGAGGGACAAGGAATAGGTTCCTGTAAGTGTCTGTGAAATTCCACAAAGAGTGATATTATTAACTCAGGTAAGATATAAGAAGTTTTGGATGTGATATCACATGATTTATTACTCATTTCTCCTGGTTACAACAGCCTGTATTATGCCCATCCTCAGTTGCACCTATGGGAGTAATTACCCAATAAATGACAGAAAACAAATCAGTTTTATTGAGTAGCAAAATACAATCCTAACTCAGTCTTACTTGTGACATGTTCATAAAAGAGAAGGAACTCCATATTACCAAGAGAAATTAACTTTGTAAAAATTCAGAATAAAAATATCTCAGAAGTATTTAGCAACCAAAGGATGTTGAGTGCAAGGTAAGGTTCATAGTTTTTAATTGTATGCGTTACATTTTCACTAATCATGTATTTCTAAATGTTTATGCAAAATAAATTAATGTAATTCTTCATACTGTATATTTATGGCCCAACCTCTTCTCCTAGAAGTCTCTTTACACCTCCAAAGTAGCCTGCTCTCATTAACTTCTTTGCAGTCTTGCTCTCACAGTGTGGTCATATGTGGTTTTTACAAGAGGCAAAGGTAGCTCACAAAGTCAAATAGAATAGTGGTTTTAAATTAACCAGTTATCCCAGGTTATTCTGCAAAAAAAGGAAACTTCCCCATCCATAAATCATTGTATGTCAGTGGAATAAGAAAATGAAATTATTATGACATGTCTTAGCCAAGATCCAGAGGACAGTAATACCCTCTGTTTAAGGCTCAGATGAGGAATTTTAAGCTGTCACTTCAGTTTGCAGCAGGTTTGCCTTACATCCTTGGGCAAATCTCTTCATCTATCTTGTTTCGATCCCTTAGTCATTAAATGGAAATAGTAATTCCTCCCTTTCTCAAAATAATGTTTTTAGAGAGAAAATCTGTTAATGACTAAGAACTTCATGCGTTTTGGTATCGAGGGTTATATAAAAATCATTGCAAAGCCAGCCTGAGGGCTTCCTTCAATCCTACAGCTGCGTAGAATCCACTGTGTGCCAAGAGTCCCCTACATGTGCATTTCCAGGCAGAAGCTACATGGACTCTTATTTCTCATCCAGGCCTTCCTTGCTGTGTCGAAATAAGATACTGGAATCTTCACAGCAATTATGGTGATGTTCACTTATGAAAATGTATAGATTTGAATTTAAGATTTTCAGGCACAAAGATTAAAGGCAGACATATTAAAGAGTTCCCAGTTTAATTTAGAGGGAGCTGTGGGTGCTCAGCACCTCTCTGATAATGAGGATCTGGTTGTTTACTTGTTCCATTTTACTCCTTTCACCATCTATCTAATCCTATCACATAATTGTCTACAGAAAATACTCAGACACTTGGTTTCTTTACTGTTTTGTGTCGTTGGGGATGGTGTCACCACGCAGTGAAAAGAACCACAGAATGCTGTTTTTCAAAGGCATGCGCTCACATTTGCACAACGTTTTCTCACTGGATCATGAATGAATAGTAAGATTATTCCGCCTGTTTGTTTTCCTATTAATGGATAGTTGCTGTTTGGGATATATAGCTTTGGGATTACATGAAATATTATGCAACTGTGCTGGTGAAAGAAACATTAATGTTTCTTTTGCGATACACAGTTTTTGGCTTTATGTCCAGGTCATTAAGACAGGGAAACTACTAAAGCAACCAGACTCTTATTCACTAATTTCGCAGATTGTCTTTGGAGAATGGCAGAGTGGAACAGAAATTAAAGATACCCACTTATATAACAGGAAATAAAAAGTGGTATAATTAGTATCAGTTTTCAACTATTCGTGGTAATGAGCAGACAAGACTGTTTTCATAAAGGAAAAGCATTTTTTCCCAAGCTATGTGCAAATAAACCTTTCTTATTACCTTCTTTGCACTACATCAAATATACCAAAAGGTGTTATGTATGGATTAGCCAGCATGTCTGTAATTCTTTGACTTTAAAAAATTAATAGCGGAAGTTAAAGTAAGTGCCCTCTAGACAGTTCATAAATGAGTACTTTCAGCTTTGTGCACAAGTTTGGTGAATCAAAACTGAAAGATTCATTCCAGGAGTACAGTCATGACATGTCTACATTAGTGTTTTCATTTGAATTAGAAGTTAACTTTTGAAATTAATTTTCACTTGTCCCTACTCACCTACTTTGGTTTGTAACCTGTAGCAATCTTGGAGAGCACAAACTGAATTCCCTTCAGATGAAATTAGACCAAAAGCTGTGGTACACAAGCGTGATGGTGGGTTATCTGTTCATTGAACTAAAACTATATATATAGCCTAAAACTCCTCTTAGGTAAATTTTCAAATGCGTATAGAGTGAACATTCAGTTTTCAGCACCAACTCTTTGCCCTCCAGATTTGCTCCACTGTTCTGCATTTCTTGCTGATGCAGGCGTAGCCATAGTGCACTCCAGCTGCTAATAAACAGTCAGTCCATGGGACCAAGTTAAAGTCAGTATAAAGTAAAACCCTGGGAATCTTAGTAGTATGGACTTTGTGTTCTCAGCATTGTGTCTTCTTGTGTTTCACATGCTTGAGGAGGAAGATAAATAGTGAGGGAACATTTCAGGCTAGCAGGTAGCCTCAAAGGGAGAAATAAGGAGTAAACAAGATAAATCAAATTTTTGTTGTGCCTTTTCTGTGATCCTTTTAAAAATGCTTTGCTGTGGACAAACTGAAACCTTTGCTATGAAATATTCCTAATCAGAGTAGCATAAACATTCAGTTTGTCGACTGGATTATAACATGAACTGTTATGTGGGTTGAGTATTTCAAGAAACAGGACTGTCAGTGTTGTTTTTCTGAGGTCATCTAAAAATGTAGAAGCTTTGATTAATATCTTGGGCTACTGCTGGATTTCAAGGATTATGTGTGTGAAACAACTATGCAGAGACCAAAATCAGTGAAGGGAGAAGGAAAAAGAGGAAACATTTGATCAAGAAGCCAGTCCTTCGGCAAAGAAGGGGGAGAAAGGAGTGAGAGGAATCAGACAGAAAGTAGAGACTACCTGATCCCTGACTTCTTCAGAACTTTGAGACATGCAGAAAGATTACAACTGCCAGCCACGTGAGCAGCTTGCTGCCTGACTTCTCCAATGCTGGCACAATGGGATGACAGTCAGGAGCTGGAAGGTAAGGAAGTCCAGCATCTGGGATCCCTTACTAGAAACAGGGAATTGAGAGAGGAACTGGAGAAGAGGTGGTGATTTGCAATTTCTGGAGGCAGCTCCTCTCAAGTATGACAGCAAGATATCTGTTCAAGGAAGATCTTGTGAACTGCCCAGGAAAATGGGCAACCACATATGAGGGCATCCAATATGCAAGAGAATTAGCAGTGCTGGAAGTCATCTACAAACATCCTGAGGATGTCCTATGCTCACAGGCCACATGGAGGAAGGTGATTCAAAATGCCTGTATTCTTCACCAAGTTCTACCCGTGGTACAATGAGAAAAGATCTTTAACCATTAGAAATAGTCAAAATATAGTGTTCATCATAATCTAGGTGTGCAACTGTATTGGGTTTGTGTGACAAGGTCTTGGTAGCTTGGGGGCACGGATCTTTGTTAGATCCATTCCTAGTCTAACTTGTGACAATAGATGCACGATGCACTCTTATGCTTTACCACTGATTCTCCTTCCTCATCATCTCGATCATCTGGAGGATCAAAGAGATCACCATCATTTGTCCCATTAGACATGAAAGAATTAAGGGATTCTGGTACATTTCAGCCTTTCCTGTGCTGCTGTGAGTCAAGACTGCAGTCAGGACCTGAGGAGTTCACACATCATTTTGAGGAAGGACTGCTCTGACAGAAGATTCACAGAATCCATCCTCACTGCTTGAGTGAGAAAAATCTGAGTCTGTGTTCAAAGAAAGACTGACATGGCTTGGAGATGAGACCACTGCTGGGTGCTGATTGCCCACTTCCTGTGCTGTTTGGTGTTGGGAGTCAGGTTTCCAAGCAATGCTGCTACAGGTCCCACTGGCAGAGATAAAAGGTGATGCTCTGACTTGCTCAACTGAGCCTGTCCTGGAGGTGTAGCTGCCTGGGAAGGCACTGTGCTGGTCAGTGCTCCGCAAGACTGGGCTGATACATTGTGTCAATGGGGTTTATAGTACTTTTAGTAATCTGTAGCAACACAAGGCGGTGGGATTAATTTCCCCTTCCCCCGGCAAAAAAAAAGTCCTTTTTGACAGCCAAACAGGGACATGAAGAATTCAAGATAAGGATAGAGGGAAAAGGAACAGGAAAAACATGGATGAACAACACTAGAGAAGGAAGAGTGGAATGATTGTGGAGTATTTTGGTGGTTGTAATTGCGGTGAAGGGGTAAGGGGAGGATTTTCTGTAAATTGCCCAGTTTTGTTGGCATTGTGATATTATTTTGATTTTGGTGCAGAGAATTCTTTTTGTTGATGTTAAGTGAAGTTTGTGATTAATGTACATTGTAATGATAATTCTTAGATTTCCAGAGGCGAGGGGTGGAATGTATTGGGTTTTGTGTGGCAAGCTTTGGGTAACTGGGGGTGGGGGTGCTACAGAGATGGCTTCTGTGGGGAGCTACCAGAAGCTTCCCTCATGTCCAGCATAGCCAATGCCAGCCATCACTGTGGTAGTGCCTCTGGGACAACGTATTTGAGAAGGGGAAAAGCCCCTGATTGTGGGTTTTCTCTGGTGGTCGTTCCTGCTCCCATCTTAGGGAGGGCAGAGCTTGGTTCCACCAGTCCCTTTCTGGAGCTCCTTGATGCTCCTTAGCCTTTCTCCCTCCTCCCGCAGCGCTGGCACCAGTGTGAGAAATCATCCCCTCAGCCACCACTCGCTCCGCTGCCACCCGCTCCCAGGGACAGGCTCTGGCACCTGGGCGGCGGCGTGGCCCTAGGGCAGCTCTGTCCGGAGTTGCCACCTCCGTTCTGGCGAGTGCAGAGGACGTGGCTTTGTGCCGGCCCTGCTGGGAGCGCCCCGGGACTCGGGGGGGACGGACGGACGGCGTGCTCCAGTGAGCTCCAGGGACTGCCCTGGGCTATGAGAATGCCGTGAGCT